TAAAGACGAATAATAAGCAGCTCTCGTCCTGCAGATCACTTTTTTATAGTTCAGAAAACTATCTTTCCAGGCTAGATGAGATTCTTCTGACTTTGTGGAGCACCACTGTCTTTCTAACCTTCTTAACTTCTGTTTTAGGATGTGCAGCTGTTGACTAGACCACGGAGCTGTTTTATTTTAATTTATAGGCTTCTTGTTCAATGGGGCAACAGCATCAGTTGATGAAGACAGTAAAGCTGCAGTTCTATCAACCAGATGATCCACCTGTGTGGGGCTAAGATCAGAGGAGCTGCTCTCCATGGTGTTGGCATTAAAGTGAATAATAATGGAACCATTTCCTTAAATTTAATAACGGCATTTTCAGATACACATCTGCTGTAATGAACTCTTTGGTAGATGCTCCATAGTCCATTATTGTAAATTCAAATGTTATTAAAAATGATCAGAGAGGATCGAGTTTTGTTTAAAGGCAGTAAGATGTTCAATGTCTGTGTCATGTGTCAGAACAAGATCAAGGGTTAAAACTATGAGTTGGTTTATTGACATTCTGAGAGAAGCCAACTGAGTCTAACAATGAACTAAATGCAGAGCTGAGGCTGTCGTTCTCATCATCTACATGGATATTAAAGTCACCCGCCATAATGACCTTATCTGTACTGAGCACTAAGTCAGCTGAGAACTCTGAGAATTCAGTAGAAGCTCAGAGTAGGGGCCGCTGGCCCATATTTAACAACTAGCTGGTTTTTGTGCTTTCCAATTCAAGTGAGACTAAGGCCTTCAAACAAACAACTAAGTTTTGGTTTCTGGTTAATTAATAGGTTTGAGTGGAGGACTGCTGCCACTCCTCCTCCCCCTCTGCCTGTACTTCTATGTACATGAACATTAATATGACTGGGGGGAGTTGATTCATTTAGACTGACGTATTGTAGTGATCACAGAGCCAGATTGCTAGGACTGAACAGTTGTGCTGCAATGCAGCATAGGAGTTTGGGGTGATGGGGTTCTAAATGTGTTTATTGTGGTTCACATTGGTTAACATTGCTGCTAGTGTTTCTGATTTGTTGTGCTTTTGTGGTTCGTATGATTTAGCTAGCTGAGACAGCGTAGTTAAGTGTTATGTTGATAGTACCACAAGTGAGATACGTAGTCTGTTTGATGTCTTCCGGCCACTGTTTATATGTGTGTGTAGTACTCCTGTGTCACAATAAAAGCGTGTGCTTTGTGTAGTGTGCATAAAAAGGCAGATCTAATGTCATCCTTCCACGCAGCTCGTCACAGTGTTCTTCATGCTGCAGCCAGGTTTCAGTCAGACACATTAAGTCAAAATGATGATCTGTTATCAGATCATTAACTAAAAGACACTTAGATGACAGAGATCTGATATTTTGCAATTCACATTTAATTGCCCTGTTTTTTGATTCTGATTAAGTTGTATTTATTTGGAAAACGTTTAACAGCCCTTTTATTGTTAATAATTAATTTTGAAAAACTTTGACGACATATCAGTGCTGAGTATTGAACATTGACAAATGTCAAATGGAACTAAAAAAGGACTTTGGTTTGATTCTCTGTCCAGGGAGAAAGTAGTAAATATTTTAAAATCTGTCCCCCAAAATACTATATGAAGTACTTTTTTTTAGCAAAGTATGTGCACTGTTGACTGGAAGGAAATTCTGGTATGTTTACATTAGAGAGCAGCTTCAATTTAATCATTTTTGCATAATTCCTAAACTGTGCTGAGACAATTTAATAATCACTTCAAGCTTTACCACACTGACATGACGTACTTGTGATCAAAAATGCAGTATTTTCAGTCAGACTGGCGATCTGGAGTGCGTGCAGCAGTGTGCTAGTTGTGCAGCTGAAATGTTTTCTCGTGCAGCCCAGAACCCAAAAACAGTAGGGCTATGCCAGAATGGAATCATTTAGAGCTTTGTCTAATGAGACACGGCAGACAGCAGGCCTCACCAGGAAGACAACGTCTCCAGTTTCCATGTCTCTATGCATAATAAATACGACTGCAGATACTTCCTGCAAGATGACAGAACAGACGATGGAAATACTATCAAACGTTGTTTATGTGTTAAGATGTTTTTACCATTACTTCAAACATTTAGTCTAAGGAAGACTCCGCTATTTATGTTAAGCTTCTGAGTTATACACTGCCCCTAAAACATGAGTGATTAAGAAGAAACAATCCTCCTTCAGTTTTCCGCTGTGAGCCTTGTATTAGCTGATATCTTTTTTGTCTACTATCAGAGGGAGGATAACTGCCAAAGCAACCTCATTTCCTTGACTAGTCTAATTATTTAATCACCATTTTCCTCTACTTAGACATTGCTAACATACTGATACACTGTTCATGTGATCATTGCAGTTGACCATGTGGCTAACTGTAGCCTATGGCAGAAGAGGCTATTGGGTATGTATAGTTTCTGTATGGATAAACATGGTCCAAGTACGCAGATGTTCCTGTCTGCTGCTTTTGTACTGTTGAACTATGAATGTTTTCTGTTGGTCTTGGCTATCCAACCTACAACCTACGGGAAGAAAAACAGTTATGTTGCAAAAGAACAGATTTTTCCTGCACATTACACCCACAGTTTAGTATTCCCAAGCTGGATGAGAGACATTGCTGACACAATGCCAGAGTTTAGACGAGCATTCTATCATGCTCTTTACATCAGCATGGAGGTTGACCAATGTGTGTTTTTCAGACCTGATACTGATGCAGATTGTCAGTAATCAAGGAGAACAATAATCTATACAGTCATGACTCGATAGTCCGACCCTTAACAATCCTAAACCTGCTATCCAACAGGTTTCTAGGAAAAACCAACAGAACCCATAAAAACAGCCTTAACATAGCGACAGCCTTGGATTCTGACTCCAACATGACATTTAATGTCACCAATCAGGATGTCGGCGTATTATCTGACTGAACAATCCCACAGATTGGCTACGTTCACACTGCAGGACTTGATGCTCAATGAGGGATTTCTTTGTGAGTTCCTTCACGTTTCCAGTTCAATGCGACTTGTATGTGATCTGCTGTGTGAACTTCATACGACCCAAAAGTGTCCCGCATGCGCAGAAGAGGACACGACGACGTCACACGCAGCGAGCGTGCTCAGTGTTTACGGAAGTAAACATGGATGGTAACGGTGGAGCGTATCTGCCACTCCCCCGCCGCCACCGATGGAGGAAACAGAAGTGTGAGCGCTAACTAAACTAGCATCAGCAGCCAAGTACTGCCTGTGTGTTCTGGACACTTCCACCCTGTCAGAGCGCTCCAAAGTGTCCCCCGACCACACCAGATATTCATATATTCATCATTAATTGGGCCTGAATATCTAGATAGCAGAAAGTGCTGTTGGGACCAGACCTACTAGTTATTATAACAACTATGAACAATAATTAACAACTAATGAGCCTTCCAGCGTCAATCCGACAGGATTGCTATCTGACATAAAAGAAGGTTTTACATTTAGTGTCGGATTATCGAGTCACGACTGTACTTGGAACTGATACACCTTTGCAATAAAAATACAATCTTGGCATCAAAACAAAGTTTAACACAAACTGCAACAAAACATAAAACTTAACTGAAAGTCATTTGTTTATATTTTTTGAGTCCAGTGTATTCCTTTGATGGATTTTTGTACATGATACACATTTAATGTGAGATAGCTATTTTAAATCTTTTACATTTTATTTACCATAGTAAGCTAACAAATACTACAAAACTAGTCATGAACTTTTAAGAATCTGTGGAAATTCATAATAAATGTAACTGTGATGATACGTTCGGTGTTGTGACGTTATCATCTCTCTGATGTAGTGTGATTGTTTGGCCTCTGTGTTTCACATGCCCTTCACAGTTCAATGTCACCACATTGTTTAATCTGATCATGTGGACTGAGATGAAGGATGATTTATGGCTAGCTCTCTATAGAATAAGTTCACCTTACAAACTGATTTAAGGTCATATACTGCTGCCAACATCCACAAAGCCTCCTGTTTTCACACTCACCTCCAAACTTTTACATTTCTGTCTGTAGCAAAATCATTATTAGAGATAGCATTTGCATCCAGATTATTTTAGCACTGATGGTACTTTTAGGAGGGTGGTATGGCACAGCAAGTGTTGAGCCAAATGTTAAAGATAAACCAAGACACTAAAAACAGACAGAAATGACAGCTGTGGAGGTAGTCACCTGCTTTCCTGTCAGCTGTGTTACAGTCAAACTATGTGCTGCCACCAAGTGGTAAACACACGACTACAAGATTACCCACAATGCAATGTGCTAAAATGATGTTTTTGTGCTAGACGTTTCTTCTGATTTCTTCAGCTGTCCTGTTCAGATAAGGTACATAAGCATAGACACAGCCAACGTAAAGATGGGGGGGGGGCGCGAAAAGAAGGGGGAGAAGGGGGAGAGAGAGAAAGGGAGGAGAAAAATGAAAAAAAAAGAGAAAACTGAGGAGAAGAAGAGGAGAGCTGAAGGGTTCTTGCTGCCTTTCTGATCCACTTGAATGCAATTTCTTCCTTAAATTTCAATAATTTAGGCAAAATCTGTAACTTTGCTGGGTGACGGTGGGGCAAGCTCTGGCTACAAAGGTCGCCGGCTCAATCCCAGCTGATAACACATATATTCTATCAGAAATAGTGACCAGCTGTTGTTAAACTTTAAGATACAACTATCTGTGCCACAAAAATATGAGTGGCCTATTGTAAATGTATTGCTAACTGGTCAGACCCACACAAAACCAGCTTTTACTGATGTGTTACTGACCAAACTGTATCAGCACTTCTTGTTTTTTAAGGCTATCTATTTATATTGATATTCTTACAAATAACAAGGCCAGTTTGATCAATTATGAAATGGTTTTGAATACATGTTCTTCATGTCATTTTAGCTTGACTATGCAAAAAGGTCTGTGTCTGTTTGACCCTTCTTATACAGATATTTATGTGAAAAACAAACCAAAAGCACTGCTGCAGAAATAAAGGCCAGATTTATTGCAAAAGGTACAGATTATGTTGGTATCACACAAAGAAATACAGTTACTTATGTACAACAGGGTTACAAGCTACAACAACATGATATAAAACAATTAGAGCATCTTTGAAAAGCTGTCTTCAGCAACAAGGTCTACAGAGAAATACTAAAACCAACATGCAATGCTGAAACAACATTTTTGCTGCCCTATTTCAAACTATTTACAATTGTAGGTAAGGACACAGAATCCACTCGTGGTTGGCCCTCTTCCGGCGCATCTCTTCCTTCCACTGGTCAAGTGGAAACCAGCATTCTGTGGGCAGCACATGTGACCATAACACTGGCTGTGCCCACTTTCTTTGGTGGGGGCTGGTGGCACTGATCACATTTGTTTTTCTCCACAGTCCGGTTGTAAGCCCTGCCAGTAGGTGGAGGAGAAGGAAGAGGGCCTGTAGGAGCAATAGGAGAAGGGCCAGCAGGTGCAGTCACTGTTGGTGCAGGGACTTGTGGGACTGCAAAAAAAGAAAAACACTTAACGTTAAGTGTTTCTTTAAATATGTTTCCTCAAAATATTCTTTACATCACAAGCACCTGTAACATCCTAAAATGCCAAAGTCAAAGAAGGCTTCCGAGCAGTCTGGCCAGACGATGCTGCTGATGGGCCTGGTGGTGGAGTCCCAGCAGATGGGACAGGGACAGAGCTGGAAGGCTACAAGTGCACAGGAAGAAAAGGGAAGTTATTCATAGAGAACACAACACCTGCACGAATTCATTTCATGTCAGACCACCAATACCTTCTTTGCATGGAAACCGCAGCTACATGTCAGCGTCTCTCCAAACAGAGCTGACTGTCCCCTCAGCTGCATCGGACATTTCTCAATCTAGAAAACAATCTGAGTATATCATTACAATGTTTTCCGCTTTTAGTTTGATTAACTTTATCCTTAATAACCGCACAATTATTGCTGATTATTCTGTCCAGTTTTATCTTCAGGTACGGGTCATGCCACTTTTTCTGGCGTGGTGCTGGTCCGTTTCCTGCCTCAGAGGGCCAAACCCCAGAAGCAGCAAACCCACTCCTCATCTGCCATCGCTCTGTGTCTTCTGTTTGGAAGCCATCCACCATCAACAGAGAAGAAAAGCACAAGTTACACCAAATGGACCAGCCAGAACTTATAACTACTACGTATACTAATATGTATTATATTGGTGTCATTATTATTCATAGGTGCATAAGCTAAAAAAAAGGGTAATAATAACTAATATGACAGCATTAAAAAGTTACAGTAGAAAAACACTGTTAAAGTAACTGCAGCTCAAAAAAAAACCCGCTTATGTTGCTGTAAACTGTATTTTCAACATCATGTGAAGGCACCACCGTAGTTACACATGAAGTAGTTCAGTAACGTAACGAAAGATGAATGACTGACAAGCTTATCGACGATATTCATCCACAAGCAGTGACCGTGTTAATGCCGGCGGTAGTCTGCAGCCCCAGAACACATGAACGATAAAACGCTGCCCTGAACGGACTGTAAGATTATTACCGGGACAGTACCGGTACCGGTACAGACGACACTGCAGCGTTATAATAAACGTAGTGACTAATGTGTGTGGCAGCATAACGGTGGACTGTCACAGTGGAGATGAACCGATAAACCATGTGTTCATGGAGACATACTGAAGAGGAGATGAATAACTACACAGCCATGAATGAAAAGACGTACCTGTCACAGACTTGACATAATGTGGTCATAAATACATTTGTATGTATTTAACTGACACACATAACAGAGATAAAGTAAAGAACTAACAAGATGACAGTCACATATAAAGACTTTTAAGACAATTAATAGTAAAAACGAAAGTGAAAAATAAGTGGCTGTCTGCTGTAACAACCGAAGGATGCCACTGTGTTTTGTTTTGGTTTTTTTCTTGTAATAATTACGGATATGAAAATAATACCGTCTTACCTTGATATGGAAAAGTTTACGTACAGGTGTCTGGGGGTGTCTGGGGGGCAGGGAGTCACGAGGGGCGCTCTCGCACTCTCTTTGGTCGCTGGGTGAATTCTGGGCATTCTCGATATCGATTGGTCGTGAAAAGATGGAGAATTCCGGGCAGGAGAGGAGGCGATTGGCTGAGAATTCTGGAGAATTCTGGAGACTCAGGGATGCGATTGGACCAGTGTAATAAAACATATACATGTAACAAACTTAATTTTTTATGCTTAAAAGTCACATGATTTTAAGTTTAACCTGCTAACCCCATGAATCATTTTTTTAGAGTGTGGCTTTGGCCTCAGATTCTCTCAGTTACAATAAATTACTGTCAAAACAATCAATATCAGTGAGATGTGTTGATGTCATTGTTTTAAACCTCAAGATTTGTGTCCTGTGGATGTTTCTTGACCAGTCAGATGTCTCTTTGGTGATGTCACTGCGCTGCCAGATAAATGCTACTGACATAGAAATGTTAAAGTCCACACAGTTAACTGTGACGCTGTAAAAATACAGTAAACTACTATAAACATTTTGATATATTTATTTATATTTTTTTCATATATTTAATTATGATATAACTATTTTCAGATGAACCACCACAACTCTGGCTTTGGCAAAAAAAAATGACCTGTGGAAAAAATGTCTTTCCTTGAATTCTCCTGATGTGTGTTTTCAATTGGTGTCCACCGGAGCCAGAACTTTTTGGAGCCAGCTTTTCATGACACTCAGGGTATTGCAGGTTTTGACACTTCTATTCTGGTTTCAGGTTTCAGGGCTGAGTGTTACGTCCATCTTTCTTTGACAGTCAGTGCACTGGAGTGAATGGAGATGATGAAACTCTGTCTTTCAATGGCTCTGATAGTAACTAACCCAGTTGTCTGCAACATGAGTGAGGTTTGTCACCAGACCACGGTGTTAGGGTTAATTAACAAAAGTTAAAAGAGAACAGGGGCCACTAAAGCCAGGTTATAGTTGGGTTTTCATTTCATATTTTTGTAAAATTACTGATATAAAAATATGAGCTTCTATTAAAACACCCTTTAGTCTGTAAGTTGTAAATGATGTCAAATGTCAGAAGGATAAATATTATTTGTTCACAACTTGGCAGCACAGCAGTGGTACAAAACGATGGCTGTGACTAAATGAATAAACAACAACAGCTGATATAAACAGTATTGATATATGGCATATTAAGATTAGCATCGACATTAGTTCAAGCTCGTAATGCCAGTGTGGTTATACAAAGTAGTACCACATAACCCTAGAGTGAAGGCACTGACTGCTGAAGACAGAGCTGACAGTAAACACATTTAGCACATTTGCAAAGATTTATGTGTAACATGAGAACACTTCTCTACAAATCACATAAACAGCCACTCAAGACATTTACAGATACTTTGAAATGATTCCATTTGCAATTATTACACAACGCAGTGTGGATATAGAAAATTCAGATGTAAAATATGTTCTGTACATTCAAATGCTTAATTCATACAATCAAAGGATTTATGCAAAAACAAAAAAGCATAATCAATTCTTAAAACATCCCTTTTAAATTCTTACACAGCCCTACTAAAGACTGAACCATACAACTTGCAAAAATTAAAATGTCACACTAAAACATTACGAGCAGTGACATGACTTAGTAACAGGCAGCAAAGCTTAATATACATTATAGACCTTTAGATACAAATGCTTGTTTTTCTATGAACACGGAGCATCAGACTGGTACAGCTATCATGGATTGTAATTTCAATTAATGTTATATAAAAAGAAATAGTTTCAAAAAGTGAAACGTTCTGTTTGTGAATACAGCCTTGTTGCAGCTCATTCCTTGGTGCATGTTGTAACTTCTGATTACAAACAGCAGGTGGCGACATTTCCTTCAGTTCAAAGCTCTGACCAGAGGAACACAGCAGAACCAGTTATACGTTCATCTGCTCTGCAAAAACACTGCATTACTTAAATATTTGGTACTCCTGAACTCCTTATAATTCTATTCATATTTTCATGATATTTTATTATATTTTTGACAGACAGCACTTTTTTGTGTTTGCTCTGATTGGACAACCATTTTAATTCTGTACCACCATTTTACAAAAACTCATCACTAGTGAAAACATCAAATATACGAATTTTATTAATATGCTTTCGAAAATAAGCTCAATGCCCATCAACTCGTTTTGTTTTGCTGTTAAGTTTTACGAAACGACTTATTGCAGATTTTTCAAATGCAAAATATCTCCAGTTATAATATCAGTTATTAATGTGTCTAATTAGATATCACTAGTGAAAGTTCAGAAGTCAGAGAGATTTCTTAGTGAGAGTTATAGCTGGAGAGCGTTTTGTTCTTTTTAAACAGAGACAGCTGAGGATTTTTTCTGTTGTGATTGCATTTGGAAAAAAAACTCTCCATGTCTGGTATGAGCAGGATGAACACTTAGAGCAATAAAAGTCATTTAATGTACATATTAATATGTGTGTATTGCTTTCACATAGACTTTTATATCTTATTGAAGACTTTTATTTATATCTTGCCCTCCTACATGTTGTCTGTGAGCAGAGGTACTTGATCTAAAATGCCCAATGCCGCATCCTTCAGAGCAACGGATCTGTCTGCCATGTGCAGCATGGATTTTAGACTCTTCCAGAAAACCTGCTGCTTCCGTTCATTGTTTGGCCATTCCAGGTATGTCTGCTGCCTCAGTATGCTTCTAAGTCTCAAGAATTTCTTGGGAATACAGTCTGTTGGAATGGGCTCCAATAAGATGAAGACTAAAGAGTCCCGCTGGACACTGATGGCTCTGTGCTGGGCAAAGAACAGCTCGTAGTTGCACCATTCGCTCTGAACAAAATGTCTGGAAAGGACAAACAGTGTCTTATAGCTGGACTCCACACAGTTGATAATGTTGTCTATTATCCATTCACCAGGGACAAAGTCTCGCTCATGGACGCAAAGGGAAAATCCAGCACCTTCCATAGAGGGCAGCAGTTGGCTGTCCACCCAATCAGAGTCCTGATGACTGTAGGATATAAACGCATGATAGTCAAATGATGCGTTCTTCAGTATGTTGGAGCATTTCTTGCCTCTCCTCTTCATCCTGATCCAGACCCACAACATCTTGGTATACCAGACTCCATCACATTTATAGAAAACCAGACCAATGGCAGCAGATATAACTATCATCACAGGCAAAGCAACTGCAACTTGAAGCCCTGCCTCACATGACAGCTCACTGGTTTTGAACTCTGACAGTGACAAGCCTGCAAATGATGGTGGGGTACTGCAGGTATAATCCAACGGCCAGTCCAAGAGCAAAGACTTGTTGAGAGTAGCAACAAACCAATAAGAGTCACACGAGCAGACAAATGGATTGCCTCCAGCTTTAAGGGTCTGAATCTTGGAGAACCCTGCCAAGGCCTCCCTGGATATAGATGTGAGAGCATTCTGATCTATGTGGAGACTGAGCAGAGTGGGGAGGCTGAGATCTGCAGGGATAACTTGAATGCTGTTGGAGCTGAGTTTGAGGTATGTTAGCTTGGGAAGGTGAGACAGATATTCTTGAGTTATGGCTGTTATTCCTGTCTTTGATAAGTCAAGCTTCTCAAAGTTTGATGACAGATATCTGAAGACACTGTTGCCCAGGTTGTTGTTTCCCAGATTGAGTTCAGTCATCCAAGCAGGCCAGGAGCAGTCCCCGTCGAGGTAGATAGAGTTGAAGCTAAGGTCCAGAGATTCTAAAGTTTTCATCTCATGCATCTTCTGAGAGATAAAGGAAAGACTGCTGAAACGATTCTTGCTTAAAGAGAGCCTCCGCAGTCTGGGAAAGACAGAGGTGTGTTTGCACATAAACCACCAGAACCCCGACTCTGTCAGAAGGTTGTCCGAGAGGTCGAGCGTTTCCAATGACGGCAAGGCAGACATGACTCTGCAGGGTAAAATGTTCATTCCACTGCCAGAAAACTTTAAATAGGTCAGTCTTGAGACAGCTTCAAAGCTCATGTTGAAAGTAGGATATTTGTATTGATAGTGATTCACACCGCTGAAGGTAATTGAACAAAGATTGATTGTGTGATTAATGGTGAGAAACTGAAACCCATCTGGTGTATCTTCATTATAGGTCATGTTGACGAATGAGAGGTCATAGAGGGAGGAGAGCCACACATTCTTGAGAAACACTTCCATAAAAGAGCTGTTTATCCAAGTGTTTTCTATGGTGAGATTCTGTATAAACGGCATTGTTCTGAGGTTTTTAAAGGGGTCACCATCCACATGGCAGCTGTCTGGAAATAAAGCAATGAATCTCAGCGATTTTGCTTGAGTCACATTCAGATCCACGAGGAGCTTCTCAAACATTCTGAAATTTCCACAAAAAGATGCATGAATGGAAACTTTTTGGAGGGACTTCAATTTGGCAAGAGAACCAGAATCATAATTTTGCCAGTAAAGTCCTCCTCCCAAAACCAGATGATCTACGTGTACATTCATCAGTGGATCAAAGTCGTTGTAGCTGACTGACAGAGCAGCTGTGCTACCTATTGACAGCAAATCCAGACTTGATAATTTCTGAAATGATTCTGGTATTCGATAGCTTGTGAAGAGATTGTTCCCCAAATCAAGAATTTTAAGCTTTTTCACTGAAATGTCCGGGACAAAACGTAAGTCATTGTGAGATATGTTGAGAACTTTGAGTGCCGGTGTGTGAATGAACGCAGTCGGAGAAATCTCCTGCAGACCACAGTGAGTTACCTTCAGAAAACACAGCTGGAACAGTCTGGAAAACTGGGCTTCATTCAGACTTTGGATGAAGTTGTGGGAAATATCCAAATACTGCGTGTTGTTGGAAAGATTTGAGGGAACATCTGTCAGATTTTGATGGGAAAGATCTTCCATTCCTCGCCTCGACGTAACACACAGTTTAAAGCCGTCGTAATCCGCCTTCACAGCTGTGCAGTCAGGTTTCTTGAGGGACACGATGACAATGGTCCCAATCAGCAACACTACACTAGTGCTGAAACCCCAAAATGAATCAAATGAAAAGAAATGAAATAAATAGTCATTTACTGCAGGAGTAAATATTCTGAACATTGACTTCTAGAGGTCCTCTTACAAAAAAATGTGCATTACCTTTGTGTAGACATGGCTTCAGAAATTGTCAGGAGGTCAGGTCTGAGCTGTGTGTGTTGAGTGCTGACTTTTAGCCTCTGTATTCCAAAAAGCAAAAAGCTAAAATGTATTTCTCTTTCTTCCTTTCATTTCTTCTTTTTCCACATGACTGTATATTGTGAAAGGGGATGTTTTGCTCTAGCTAAAATAAGACATAGAGAAAACAGCCCCATAACAGGAACTTGTATTATTTTTGCATAGGTGTTGCTCACACATTCCTTTCCTTTTTGTACAACAGACCACTACAGCAAGCATCAGTCAGTGGTGGGTAGAGGTAAATATCTAGAGGAGACCCAGGTTTTCATTTACAACCACATGCCAGTAAAGAAACAACGCTGTCAGCAACATGTAGTGGTTTGTTGCGACAAGCCCTTCTTTAGTCAGCAGTTGGGATGGGAGCACAGGCTTGTTTTTCCAAATTGTTCTTGCCATGGTCAGTTTCCTCTTTCGTAGCTCCTCTCCCAGCTTGTGTGAGGTAAAAAAAATAAATGTTGCATGTGATGTTGTGTCCACTGAGTCCATGAGTCATGTCCAGGAAATCTCTTGTTCCTTGATTTTTCACTGGGCTCCTCCATCAGGTTTCCCTGTGTAGACTTGTAAGTTCCAAGCATAAGTGGCATCACAGGCAGCCCAGAGCTTTATACCATACCACGTCCCACCCCCAGTTTACAGTTTGGATAGAGTGTGAGAAAATAAAGATTGGTCTCCGCAAAGACAGAGGGCAAAATGTGTGGGAATGTGAGAGCAAACGTTGTTGGTGCTTGAATTTTGCAACCTTGTGCGGGAACGGCAGGACAGAAACACAAAAGTCACAGACAGACACAGACACAGACACAGACAGGAGGAGGACAGAGTGAAGGTACACAGAACCTACATTTTCCACACTTTTATGAAGACCTGGGTCCAGAGGACCCGAACATCCTGTATGAAGAGTAGGGAGGGTGTACCGTGTGTGGTCGCTGAAAATGTGTTGTGATATATGTTCTCTTTTTTTAAGTAATAAATAATGCCCACATTGAGGAACATTAAAAATTTGACTAAATGTTGTACATAATGAAGTGACCATGAAAACCACTTCCCTAATTTCATGACTTCCCATTTCACTGTAGTCAAATGTACCCATTGTCTGCTGTGGTTGGGTAAATCCTGCAGGATCTGAAACAGTGAAAAAAGGAAATCCTCTTTTGCTGTTTGAATGAATGAATCACACAATTTACAGAACTTTGGATATTTTGGTGAAACAGATCTGAGAGGGGTGTGGAATTAATGTAGTTCATTAGATGTAACTCTAAATGATTTATAAAGCTTTATACCAAATTAGTTTAGTGCGTGTTCAGCTCCAAAAAGCAAACAGAAGTAGAGAAATTGTGAGTTAAGTATTCCCATCAGTTGTTGATGGAGACCAAAAACAGCTGTCCTAAAGGAGTCAGTCATTAGACATTCACATATAAATGATCACGTTCCTCCACTAATCTGGACAATTAAAGAAATTTACAGCATCAATGTATAGACCCCTTCTAGTGGAATTTTTTTTGTAAACGTTAACATGTACATAAGGTGTATTTTAATGCTAGAAGACATGGCATGGGCTGCAAGATAGAGCAGTGGTTAGCACTGTTGCCTCTCAGCCAGAAGGTTTGTGTCTCGGTGGGGACACCTGGGATCTTTCTGCGTGGAGTCTCCATGTTCTCCCCGTGCAGCGTGGGTTCTCTCCGGGTTCTCCGGCTTCCTCCCACAGTCCAGAAACATGCTGAGGTTAATTGGTAATTGTAAATTGTCCGTAGGTGTGAATGTGAGTGTGCTTGGTTGTCTGTCTCTAAGTGTAGCCCTGTGATAGACTGGTTACCTGTCCAGGTGAAGCTGCCTTCACCCTGAGTCAGCTGGGATAGACTCCAGCCCCCCATGACCCTAGTGAGGACTAAGAGGTGTAGAGATGATGGTTGAATGGACATAGCATGAGCAAAATAAGCAGACAGCACCATACCGCTTTCCTTGAAAATGCACTCTCAAAAACACAAATTCAGACTTGGTGGTTTGAGGAACGGTCACTGTCAGCTTGCAGGGTGGGCTTTCTGTATAACTAACTTCCTTCAGAGTCAGTTTGAAGTTCAAATATACATGGCTAAATTAATCCAGTATTTCAAATGTCTAATGAGTAGCTGGGAGTGAAGTGTTAAAGCTTTAGTTCCATCCTGTAGGTCCTGGGTCACTACTGATTCCTTCTCCAGAATATTTAGAGCTGCACCCCTTTCCAGTCCTCAAAAGTAATGTTACAGAGTGGACCTTAATGTGAACGATGGGGAAAATGTTGTACATTCTCATGGTTCATGGATGTACTACAGGCAGCAGAGTTGTAGTGCGTGGAGCTTTTTTGACAAATCTGAGAAGGGAGATTTCAAGGAAACCTTGGATTTGTTGAGTTTCTCTGTTTAAAATGTGTAAGGTTTTCACATTACTGTGTGAGGTGGTTTGAGATGATGTGTGTTTCCAACTGGTGCTATATAAATAAAACTGAATTGAACTGACTGGATTGTTTTCAAATGAAAACTGCAGAGAGTTCAAAAGCTTCAGTTTGTGTGTGCATACACTACAACATCACATCAACTTACACGTATTTTGCTTCTTTTACTTTACCTGGACACATCATCTTTCCACATTACACATCCTGACCCAGGCAGCCCAGCCATGGTGCAGCATATGTCCAGAATAATACACAGATATTAATGTGTACAAAGCAGTTACTGTGATCCAATTCAACCTTTGTGAGCCACCAACACTGGTATATGGGCAGTTTGGCCTATGTCCTGCACCAGGAGCTGATTTTGCTTCACACATTTATCTCTGGCAGGTTTGATTTCTGTAATGGTATCTGATGATAAACTACTCTATCACAACTCTGTCGGAATTCAAAAGAAAAAAAAGAGAGAGAAAAAAATCAGACTTGTTGCTGCATCTGTCCGCTGGATGTCGGTTCCTGTCTTTGGGTGGGATTTTCAATAAGTCTGCTACATCATGTATTGATACCCTCGGAGCTTCAGTAGAAGGCAATAGCTTCTTCAGTTTTGAAGAAGAGAGATTCCCCCTTTTGATAAGCCTAAAGGAGGAGTCCAATTGCTTTCTACTGAAGCTCCTCAGATTACTGTGATTTGGATGACTGACAGTCTACACTGATAAATGTATTGTACTGTATTTTTTTAAAAACTACCCTTCAACATTTTGCCTATCATTTTACTTTTTAGTCATGCTGACTGCTTTGGGGGACGTACTGTGATGTTCCTGACAAATGTTGGAATTCCATTTGTCTTTTTTAAAGTTAAGTTTTAATTTCAGTTTTTGAGTGCAATCATTTTGAAATGTGATTGAACATTACTACAAGACACATGCAGGGTGGCATGTCCAGTGTGCACGCCTGAACCACTTAGTATACACTGAAGCAGGGGTCTCAAACTCGTGGCCCACAGGCCAATTGAGGCCCGCACGATGATGTTTTGTAGCCCCCTACTTGACATCAGAGTTTAAGGTTAGTGCAGTCCATGCATTTTTCTAAGAGGAAGTGTAGGTAGGAGGAGGTACGAGAAGCCTGTGTTCATGTTCTGAACTGTTATTGATAAAGATTGAGAACATTGGATCAGTTGTACTTTTTTCTGGAATACCTGAAACCCTTTCTTTGTGGAATAAGTGACGCGGCCCAGCCTCAGCCAGACTCCATCTCCAGCAGCCCCCAGATAAGTTGAGTTTGAAACCCCTGCACTGAAGCATAAACAACACATAATAGTTTCAGTCTGCTTGAATTAAATAAAAAAGAAGCGTTTAGCATGAACTCTTTGTTCATTGATATAACTTGCGTGTCGTTCTCGCAGAGACCAACTCAGAGCACATCGTGTCTGCTCAAGCAGTGAGAGTCTGGAGATTACTAATAGATTAATATTAGGGACAGTGATGGGGTCAAAACACATTGTATAGACTGCTGGATGTCTACAGTATATTGACTTCTGGGGTCCAAACAACATGCTATCATACATGTGTCTAAGAATTTACTTTCCCCCCCAAAAAATAAAATAAATAGTGCCAGTGTTGATGGGGCTTTGTAGAAAATGTCACACTAAGTTTTAATTGATTAGGTACAGTTAGCAGAAACTACAGCAGTTCAAACAGCTAAACCTGCCTTGATGATGGATATAATGTGTTGAAGCTGTCTATTGAGAAGTACTGTTTAAATGTATTGGTCATTTTGGAAGTTTTTGGGAGTTTCTGCTGAATTAATAGTGTGTGAAATTTAGCCTGGAAACCTCCATTGTAGGAAGTATGACAAATACTTCCCTGGTGAGTCCTCACAACAGCACAGGGGTTTTCCACTGTCCCTTTCTTAAACTAAGGCCAAGAAATAATTTGTCTAGCATGATTAGACACAAAAACAGAAACTCAACTAACACACTCCACCTCCTGATGCGGATACACAGAGCTCACATCAGCCTCAGATGTACATTGTGTTTACTGTATGGAATGATTTAGAGGTCATGTGGCTCATTTTATACCTACGTCATCTAAAATCAGCCCAACATTTTGGTATATATGAAACATTTGAGATCTCCACTTGTCATGGCCTATGTTTCAATCCCTGTGTTTTCTCCCGTTTCCCCTTCACTGATCGCTGTCTTCATCTTCCTCCTGCACTTAAACCACTGAAGTCGTCTTCTTCAGTGTCTTCAGGAGCTGAACAGCCTCAGAATCACTTCCTCAGTCTCTCTGTCGTCGCTCTCAGCGTCACTTTGGTCTTGAGGCAAATTTGTAAAAATACATAAATCAGCTGCATCATTGTTTAAGCTGCAGTGTTCAAAGCGTGTGAAAAAAGTAGCTGGTCAGGAATGTACAGTACATGGGTAGGCCGCTTTTGACTGTGGCTGGCTCAGGGGAAGACAGAATCCTGCGAGTTACAAGGAGAAAGATTTATCATTGTGGCTGACTGGCACAACACAAGTGGCACCTCTCCTTGACCAAGTCTGGGTCACTACAGACAAACCCTCCTGCTTGTCCTCCC